GCAAGCCCTGGCTCTTCCCCAAAGTCAAAATAACCATGAAAGGGACACATTTCAAATTGATTCAGGACATCAGGACAGCCAAAACAGCACCATTAAAGACCCTCACGGGGTGTGGGCGGCCACACACAGCTCCGGGAGAGACATGAGCAGCACGGGGAGCTGCCTCAGCCCAACTCCCAGGAGTGGGAGTGAGTCCTGTGGACCTGGCTGGTCTCCAGCGGCTTCAGGGCAGCAGAGAGGAGACTGTCGAGCGGTGTCAAGGTCCCTGCAGAGTAAGGGCCACTCTGTAGCAGCGCTAACTCCCACCGCGCTTGGCAGGGCCTTGAGGGTGGGCTTGGGCAGAGAGTGCCGTGTTAGGGGTCCCTGGCTCCTCCTTCTTTGGAGCCCTTGAGCTCGCAGGAGGACACGGGAGTGAGGCAGGTAGGCACCAGGATGCGAATCTCAGTACCTGAGGGGCGTGAGGGGGGCTTTTCGCAGAACCGCCAGGGACCCCGGCTTCCTCTGGTGCCCAGAGAGTGTCCTGGGCTTCACCCCCACACAGCTGTGCCACCTTCACCCCCCCAGGCAGGAAGCTCTGGGGAGGGTGCCCCTCATCACGCTGCCCCAGGGACCCCTCTCCTGCTGTCCTCCATGCGTGGGGTTTGGCAGGAGCTTATTCAGCGGGGCACTCACACTCCTCCTGGCCCCGGCGAACCTTAGCTTCCTTCCCTCTGCTGCCCGGGACTCCCTGGGCCCAGCACCGTCCCGGCCCCCTGCGCCTCCCTCGGACTCCTGCGCAGTCCCCTGACGGAGCCCGAAGGACACAGCCCGGAGGCCAAGAGCCGCGACCGCTGGGACCGTCTGTCCCGCTCGCCAGCTGCGTCTGCCCCCACGGCTTCAGGGACACACCGGGGACACCGACTGGCTCACACACAAAGGGCTTTATGATTCAAGGCGCAGCAGGAGGCACGGACATCACAGCCACACTGGGTCTGTCTTGGTCATGTTCTCGCTGCTGGGACCAAATACCTGACACACAAGGTCATGAGGAGACAGCAGCAGTCCGCGCTTGGGCGGCTCCAGGACAGACCTGCGCGGCGCAGGGGGGCATGGTGGGGGAAGCTGCTCAAGGCATGGAGGACGGGAAGCAGGCGGGAGGGGGAGCCGAGAGGGAGACGCGCCCTTCCTGTCCTGCTTCTCCCCGCCAGACCGGCCCCCCCACAGTACGTGGGCTACAAGCCCCGAATCCAATCACTTTCCAAACACTTGAGCATCCAGGGTCGCTTTACATCGAAATCCTAACAGTTCCCCTCCCCTCCCCCAGGCCCCTGGGGCCACACAGAGGCAGCCCCAACGGGTCTGTGACATAGCGGGTTTGCAAAACTGGGAGCTCCCAGCTTAGGTGACACCCATGTCTTCTAAGGAGCTGCGAGATGAACCTGCCCAACCCTCCCTGCAGAGGCAGGCATTGTCATCTTGACATCGGACAGAAAACAAACCCGCCTCTGCCCCAGGGAGAGACGAAACTGTCTCCCAGGGCTTTCACCACAGAACCCCTTGGAAAGAGTCCAGATTATAAGGCCGTCCATGCGGCAGCTCTAGGACTTGCAGAAATGTGCAACACCCAGGAAGAATGGCCTCCCTTCACCCAGGAGCCTTGGACACCCAGGCCTGCCCAGCAGGGCTCTTTCCCTGTCTTTGGGCCCCTCGGTGGCTGCTCCAGTTGCTGTCTGCTGTACCCCCCACCTCCCCCGCATCTTCACACCTAGCACCGAGCCTGGCGCTAAAAGACTGTCCATAAGTGCTTGAGTTAATGAATGGACGAGTGAATGGATGAAGGCTTTTCGAGATAGGGTCTTACCATGTAATTCAAGCTGGCCTTGAACTCGCTACACAGCCCAATCTTGCAGCGATCCTCCTGCCTCAGCCTCCCAAGTGCTGGGATTACAGGCATTTGCCACTGTACCTGGCTTGAAATTCTAAATTTGTAATGGGTCTCCACAAATTCTATGGAATAAGAAGTGCAGGGTTTATAGGATAAATGGGGGTAAGGACATAACACTCAAAAACTCCATCAGAGATGCCTAAAAATACAGCTAATAAACATGTAGCACATTTTTAGAATCAAATGGTAAGGACCACATTAATGCTGGGTGTGGTGGTGGAACAGGCCTGTAATCCCAGTCCAGTTTAAGGCCCACCTGGGCTATATAGCAGGACCCTGCCTCAAAAACCAGGAGGGAAGAAAGGAAGGAAGGAAAGAAGGAAGGAAGGAAGGAAGGAAGAGGGAGGGAGGAAAAGAGCAAGCCACAGGCTGACCACAGGAGATGGGGTGCTTCGCCTGGAGAAGGACCCGGGGGGGCCGTGGACGTGGTGCAGGGAAGGCGGTGGCCGCTGTCACACGGACACGAGCAGGTTATCTGACACCGGGTGTGGAAGGATGGGCTCCTGCTCCCTGTGGCAAATCTGGGGCTTGGGGCGTATACCCGCGTGGGTTTCTCGTACTGCTGCGGGGCCCCATTCACCTGGGGCAGGATTTTGCTTTCGCTTAGTGTTTCTTGGAAATGAACTCCCTCTTAGAGAAATGCTGTGTTCGCCTTACGCTAAACGGACCGCGGCGCAGTGCATCAGTCACAGTGAGAGGAATGCAAGTTCATAAACAAGAGAGGTGGCAGAACTGGCTGTGCTGTCCTGATGTTTGCGTTTAAGGTGTGACTGAAATACACAGTGACTGTTTAATTCTTCAAAAGGGAAACGTTTTGAATCAATCAGGGCACCAAGGCAGCCATGGCAGTGCAACGAAAGACACAAAGGAAAGAGCATTTCCAGAACTGCTTCTGGAACTAGCAAGGATGAGGGGATGAGTGTGTTCAAAGCAAGGGGGGGAATTTGAGGGGGATTCATGGTAGTGTGTCTTTTGCTGTAATAAACTTGCCATAAAAACATCCCTACTCTTTGGATCACACGGCCTGTGGATACATACAGCACAACCCTGAGGGATTATTGTGAGGCCCCACCCGGCTCAGGCTGTGCCTCAAGAAATGGTCCCCAGTGGCCCTCACAGAGTCCGCCATCCTGTATCTGCACAGCTAAATGCTAGAGGCTTCCCAGAGGACTCACCAGAAACAAAAATTGCCATCTATGCTGGCCCTGGCCCCTGGCCCAGGACCAGGCGCACGAGAGCCCTCATGACTTGTGAGGAGGACCCTGTTCTCTGCTCCCGTGCTAGGACCCGGCCGCTGACGTGCAGCCCCACGCCGGCACCGAGGCCTCTACGGCAGACCGTGTTACTCATGAACAATCCCACAGATTCACCGATGGTTGTTCAGGGGATGCTCAGTGAGTGCCCAGAATAAAAAAGGCCCAGCCCTGGCCATGGGGGGCCTTGGTGGAGGTG